CCCGTGAAACATTAATTTGGCTAGTTTCTACGTGTGGCTAACCATAGGCCACAATTTATCTCCTGCTAAATTTTCAGACAAACTCTTGTAATTCACCGTTTATCATTTGTATATTCTCCCAGTCCACGATGAAATACTCCAAGAAATCCAAAAGAATTTCCTACATACAGTCAAAAGCATGTAAATAAACATCACATTAACACACGCCTACACTAGTGGGAAGCAGCAAGTTGGATGTTGAATAAATATAATACAGGTTATCGAGGGATTGCATGCCAATCCCAACTGAAGGCAAACGTGACTGATGTAAAAAAATAAAGTGGTTTTCATATATGAAATCATAAAAAATTATTTCTATATGAAAACGTCAAGGTTATCAATCCCTTATCAACAAACAGTATATCAAAGACATTAGATTCATGTAAATTATACATTTTATGCATAGATAAGAGCATTCTATCAGAACACTAAGCAAACAGCACAAAGCAAAGATGAAAACTAGAACAGACTTTAAAATGAGCATGCCATTGCATCTTTTTCTGTACGCATAATTTCAAAGTGAAAATATATGCTAAAACTATGGACACCAACATCATTCATTCTATTTTTGAAAGTCAAATTAGTCCTTCATAAGTCTTTTTAATTTGCATGTGTATCTGCAGTAACCTCTAACAGTAACTCATCATATACTCCTATAACTAGAAACCAGGTTTAGTCTTCTGCCGACCTTGTAAGTTGCTGTAGCTCCATCAGTTGATAGTTCATCATTTCTGAGCACCGATGGGTCCGTCTACCATCTTGTACAGCAGGTTAGTGACGCTTTCACAAAAATGTTTGGATATGTGTGTAAAGTATCATTTAAAATGAATTGAAAATAGTGTTTTGAAACTTGGGATTGTTTTTAAATGTATTTGAAGTTTGACGCTGATTTGTGGGTATGTTGGTAGTATGATTTCTGGCTGTCGGTCTGATAAGCACCTCAGTGTCAGCTTTAAATGTAATATTTTTTTTGTGTAATATATCAGGATATTTATATTAGAGCATTTTTACACTATTAATATTGGCAGTTTTTGATCATGTCCTTATTTTGGAGAAACTGAGACTGCAAAACTTCCTCTGGGATTAATAAAGTTTTCAGATTCTGAATCGCTTTGTTTGCTTGAGTATAAATTATATAACCTAAAACCTAAAAAATCTAAAACCTTTTTAATATTATTTTTAAAGAAGGCTGTGCCGCATCACCTTTTTTGTTTTTGTGGTCCACATGTTTGCAGTGTGTGAAAGATTTGGACATTGGACAGGCCAGTTTAGGAGCCATACTGTACACGACCACATAAAATATGGTCTGACATGGTCTTGCTGTAATGATTCTTTGCTGTAATGAGTCTTTCAGAAGTGTTCTTGAGCCCAAGCAGTGATTTCCATACATAGTATTATATCACATCTCTTTTTAAATTGGATTGCACAGTGATGGAGTGGTTAGCTCTGTTAATTCAAAGCATGAAGGTCCTGGGTTTTAAGTCACCAGCCTGTTGGAGCTTTCTGCCTGGAGTTTGCGTGAGTTCCCCGTGATGCCATGAGATGCCACAGGGTACGCCACACCCTACATTCAAAAGACAGCCAAGTTAGGTTAACATACTCTAAACTGGAGGGAGGTGTGAAAGTGGGCATGAATAGTTCCTCTGTGTGATAGCCTGGCAGGATGGAACGGTTTGTAATTCCAGGCTCAACAGTAATGGCCGTTCTATATTAGAGTTCAGCTTTGTCTCTTGTGTGTGGATTTGTTTTTACTATTTAATTTCTATCATACAACATAGAATCTACATTTCTTTTTCATTCTTAGAGTATTTTGTAGCTTGCTGCGGATATATTTTTCTCCCCAAAAAAGGTGTTTATGTTGTACTTGAACTATATTTAGTCAAATGATTACCAATCATTGCACCACCTTTTTACACATCATCCAATTTTTTGGGAACTTACTTGTTTACAGAGCTAGTGCTGTAATACAAGCTAGACACACACTTTATCAGATACACCTGCACAGTTTAACTGTTCTTTCGAGATAAGCAGATTTCTTTATACCGCATCATATTCAAATGTGTTTTTTTCCTCTCTCATGTG